AATTAAATAGTACGTATATATAAATTTAGATTAGTACAGATTGAATTAATCATATATTTCACGTGCTTTACGTTCTTGCCGATTTCTTAAACTTTTCTTCGACCTGCCCGTCCGTAAGTCTGATAACGATGCGAGTGCACAGATTGCCGCGTTTCTACCAAAGAAAAACAGTCCGCGTACGCGGATCTAACGTAAGTGGAAAGTTCGCGCAATATTTTACTACGTCTTACCACTGTATACCTGTTCAACGTAAATCCCAAGGATACTTGAGGCTAACGCAGCGCAGTCGTTGAACTTCGAACTCTCGTCTATACTAAGTAAAATGACGTACGCGGCGGTATGTAGGTTGCCAGTTTGATATATAGATATATACGATGGTTAGAGTGCTGGTTTATCCTATGCGGAAAAGACACGTTGCCACGCGGGATGCGTTATTGCTCTTTTGGCACGTGGATATACAGGTATACGTGGAGATAGAGCTGGATGAAATTTCAAGAACAATAAGTCAGGAAATTACGAGGGAACAATGTCGCTGCTTCTCTTTGCCGCCGTCGACGTAGACGCGGCGCTCGGCTTCCAGTTTCGCGAGTTTCGTAATTCAGCGACGTGTGATAAAGAACGTTCGCGGGGTCATTCGCGAATTTTAATACCCGAGGATTAAGTCACATAACATGAGGAATATATATAGAATAAAATTTTCGAAAATTTGTAAAGGTATTTTTGAATTATCATTTGCCGATAAACGTCATTCTAATGGTTTTCTGCGACGTGTGTATAGTGAACGAAAATATGTCGTCAGTGCGCATGCGCATATATTAAGAGATTTATTATCGTAGGATCGAAATGATCTCTTGCTCGTTCACTAATATTGTATACATAGTAAACAGACTACTTCGCGCGAGAGTGTACAACTTTGCTGGGGTATATGAAGGCGCTTCGAAGCTCAGCTGAGCACGAAACCGCTTCACAGAAAATTCCGCTCACGTCAAACGGTCCTGGTCCACTTCGTTGGGAAATTCCACACGCCTGTCAGCTGTCCTCATGGCTTTGCTACTTTCTGAAAGACACCTGGGCTTCGAATAAGTTAAGGTAGAATGACCGACGCGGGGTGTCTAGGGAAGGTTGGCGTTTTCTGTTTCCTCTAGGAAAAATTTAAAACCGAACGACCATCCAAGGATAAAGTATCGAATTTAATGAGACAATGGATAAATTTAGGGATGAACCATAAATATATATATTTTTTTAATTTCAAATAGCCATAAAATTGATATACGGTATTAAAAGTTTTAAAAAGGGTCCATTTAATTTTCGATAAAAAAAAAACTCACTGTACGAAATATCAATTATATTTGATACTGTGTAATTGGTAAGGTTAATTATGCAATCTGGACGATCGCGGTCCGATCGATTCCGCTCGGCGATAATTACGTGCAATAACGTTAACATCGCACGAGTGTACGCAAACTTGCGAATCGTCTAAAATTGCGCGTCCGTTGCAATTAAAATACAATGAGAATTGTTTACCGCATATGCACACACGTATGGAATATACATATACATACAAAAAAATTTTAAGATAAAAAAAAATATTTTTTTCACAAAATATTATATGCCATTTTTCTACCCCTTTCTCGGCCCTCAATGAATTCGCAAATTCGCACAATACGTGCACCTTTGAAACTTACATGGTACCAACCTAATGGAAGCAACTCGAAGGGAATTTCAAGTTTCTCGAAGAAAATTCAACGAACGGATAGACACAGTACGAGAGTAAAAAGTAAAAAAGAGGAAAAAAAGAGAGAAGAAGTAAAAACATAATGAACATTACGAACTTTCGACAACAAGAGGCAGTTATACCAATTTCAAGCTTACATTCCCACAGATTTTGCACAGAGTACATTATATCTCTACTGTATACAGGCATACCAACCGGAGTTTCTAATACCGCCAGAGTTTACTTGTACATACAATAGGGGATTTCGTATTATATAGAAAGTCTCTATGGTGTTACAGTAACAAAACCTATGCTGAGCCACAACCCTCTTCCATCCACGAGCATAATATAAAGTGCATAGGTAGCTGAAGTTAGCTGCGATCTACTATAGCTCGTATGTACAATACGTCCTCGTATCTCTAGACGTAATTGCAATCAACGAGCGTCGATGTTCAGTCTGAACTCTGCTGCGTTAACTTATCCGAAGTTGTCCCTCTGCAGGAGGTAAAATGGATACGAGATAGAGAAAGAGAGGAAATAGGTGAAAGTAATAGTACAAAAATGAGTCTAATGATAAAATGATATAATTATAATGAAAATTAAATTCTAATAAAATTTCAATGAAAAAAATAACGTTTTGCGAATAATTAATTTTTTATAATTATCACTGACAGATTTTTATATCTGATAACGTATAATTGTATACTCCTATGCATATGGCATCCTTCTCTGTTCCTATTCCGTTCCACTTGCGCGAACGTCGAATTCTGATATTGAAGTTTAAGGATCGCTGAAAAGCGTCCTGGTACTGTTACGTAATGAGGAAGTTAGGTCACGGGTCTGAATTGAGCTCTTGCATGAATGAAAAGCGCGTTGAGCGAGAAGAGCTTCGCGTTATTCACGGGCGACGTATACAGAGTACACTAAGCGTCTATAGAGGTTGGTAACCATGTAAGGAGAGTTCAAAGTTCGTAGCGTAACGTTGGCAAAACGTTCCGCGGCTTCAAAAGCCATGATTAATATAGGATGTAAGTCGAGTAGGTGGAGCGCACTTACGCCACCCTGTATATACTGGGATGGAACAAATGTTCTAATTCGAGCTCATATACTTCCCAGTTCAGGTTTACGTAATTGGTAGGAAAATTGGGGAACCTTGTTAAAGGCATTTTAATTATATTCGCATCAATTAATTGAACCGACTATAAATACATAGCGTACATTGAGCCAATGCTGATATGTACCTATTTCATGCGAATTTTGACCGTGGTAAAATTTTTTTCAAAAATTTCGGTCCCTCGTAATACTGCAAATTCGCAAAAATATTATTCGTGAAATTTAAGGCAGTATCCGTAACGGCATGAATTTTTGTTCTCATTTTTCTAGCAAGATGTTGACAAATGATATTTGTATCCAGCATCTTTATCGACGTGAAGAAAAGTAAGATGAAACTGTGGGAGCATCTTTGTGTCGGATAATCAAAGATTTTATTGAATTTATTTCACAGTGAAAACTGAATTATTCATGTATGTATACGATATCGACTGTTGTGCAACTATTTTCATAAGCGTTATACACCGTTCAGCCCGGGAGATGAAAATAATTGAATCTTTCATAGCGGATGGAAACTGCAATAGTTACTTTTTCTTTTTTAATTCCTTTATATTCATTTCTCTTGCAGCTAAGTACTTCGATAAACAGGTTCGATGCTGTCTCGATCAAAAGCATAGATGGGGTACAGTATCGCGGAAGAAGCTGGCACGAATAATTGCATGAGAGACGAAGTGAAAAAAAAGAAGGTTGACTGTTTAGTTTTTAAACTGAAACCACAATATTACAGAATCAAATAAATCGATATGTCTGTATGATGAAAACTCTAGAAAACCAGCGCTAAGGTACAGTTAACTATAAGTTGTGAGTGTAGCTTTATGACAGACGACAAAGTGTTTTCAATAAACTGCCTGTAAATCACATTTTATACGTCGATGGTCCTGGTCTGTCATCACGACTAAAACATGCTTTGAGGACCATTAAGCGACTCCCACACTGAATTTACAAAATTTCTCAATGCTAGAATCCCAAACACATAAATGAAAGAAAAATAAATATAACGACTGAGAATCATAATTTCAGCTTCTGATGTCATAAAAGCTAACTATATATAAACACACTATACAATAACTATTAACGTCGGCGTCTTTAGCTGAGATTTAAACGCAACAGGTATTCCATTCTCATGCTACAGTATCTGTTACGGATGAGCTATAGTACGTGCAAATAACACATATTGAGCGATACAATTGTTGATGATTTTTTTTATGCAATTTAGAATCAAATAATTAAGAATTTATTAAAACTTATTTTCCGTATCTATCTACACTTTTCTTCTTACAAAATTTCTATATTTAATTTAGATAAGATGATAGTCATAGCACTCCTTGCAACGGCAGCTATTATGAGCACCATTGATGCTGTTGGTAAGCCTGTGGGTTTCGGAGCAGGTACCACTGGTGCTGAAGGTGGTACCATTGTAACTCCTATCAGCATTGCTCAGCTGTGATCCATTGCGATTCCACTAACCCTAACAGGTTCAGTACCGATACGACAGCGCGAACCATCACCAACCGGACCTCCGACTTTACTGATACCGTAGGAAGAAACACGTAAATCGGATCTTTAGTGCGAGCATATCGCAAATAACGATTTGGCATACGATACGAGTCTGCTGATCTGTTATAATAATTGACGATAATTACATAGCATTTATCAAGGTCAGAGCTGAACAGTTCAGGGGTAGAAATTTTCAGTGGCAAGTCCACGGCCAGCGTGGGTCCCTACTGGACCAGCCTAAGATTTGTTAGACATCAAAGGGCGTTCGATTCTCGTAATGGAATTTTCACTAGATTATACAGCTGCGAAGACTAGCCTAACCGTGTTCGTCTAACACCAAGAATTACTGTGCACTAAGCCTGACAACGTGTGCCGATTAGCAACCCGTTATCGTTGAATAAACGCAGTTGTAATTGCACACGTGGCTATTTCATTGGCATCGAAGAACACTGTATAGAATTAACACAGTCATGTCTTCTGTATATACAATTTTACGTCTCAGGAAATTGCAACTTTTTAAGATGTAACAACATGCACGTGTGAGAAAAAGTGAAAAGACGTTTTCAATTTTTTTTCCCCGTGCACCTATCAGCTGAGTTAATAAGTCGTGCACAGAGATGCCTGCAAGCCCATATAAAAGGACGAGTCGTATTCAAAGATGCAGAAGTCGCCGAGCGTAATATCGGTTTGAACGAAGAGCATAAGACTCTTGCTACTGGTGCTACTCTTGCTCTGTTCATGACTCATAGTAAATTGGGAGCAGGCTGGTACGTACGAACCTAGTAGAAATTTTCTTCAGTAAAATCAGCCTAGATCCTCGCTGGGTCAATACAGAAGTAGCTAGAGCCATCCACCCTGGATCTCCATAACGAAAAATCTGCCAGGACGACTCGATAAAATCGCTAAAAACTTTTTCCTTTGGCTAGAATCAAATAATTGAAAATTCAACAAAAGTCATTGACAGCCAATACGTATAAACAATTTTCCTCTTAAAAATCTCTTTGTTTCTTAAGACAACAATGCTTTGCACGGGACTCCTGCTTGCACTGGTGGCTATCACGTGCCCCATGGCAGTCGATGCCGTTAATGCCCCTGTGGGTTTCGGAGCAGGTACCACTGGCGGGCAAGGTGGTACCACTGTAACTCCAACTACCATTGCTCAGCTGAGAACCTACCTCTGCGGTTCCACTGACTCCAGAGGCCACTGTACCGACTCGACAAGGCGAGTCATCCTCATCAACCGCACCTTCGACTTCCGGAACAGCCTAGGGAAAAAGACCGAAACCGGATGTAAAGTCAAGGCCTGTCCTAACGGACAGAGCGACTTGGGACTGAACTGGTCTGGATTCTGTAACGGAAGAACGGCCACCTCCGTGACCTATGACCTTGCTGGGGTCAACGATAGACTCGTTATCGGTTCCAACAAGAGCATCATCGGAGTGAAGAACACCGGTGTCATCAAGGGAACCGGATTAAGAATATTCGGAGGCGTCTCCAACATCATCGTCCAGAACGTCCAGATCACGGACATCAACGAGGGCATCGTTTGGGGCGGAGACGCCATATCGATCGACGGCGCCAGCAAGATCTGGATCGACCACAACTACATCGCGCGCGTCGGTCGTCAGATGATCGTCACCGGTTTCGGAAGTGCCACCGACGTCACCATTTCCCACAACGTCTTCGACGGAAGCACCAGGGTCGGCGCCTACTGCGACGGCAGGCACTACTGGCTCTGGCTCTTCCTGGGTAAATCCGACACCATCACCCTGTACGGGAACATCATCCAGAACACCTCGGGTCGCGGACCCCACTCCGGTGGTATGAACAGCGCTGACGTCAGACTGCACATGGTCAACAACCACTTCAGGAACGTAGGTGGCGAGGGCGCCCTGATGTCCCTCAGCAAGACCTCGTACATCCTGGCCGAAGGCAACTACTTCCAGAATGTCGCCCATCCGGTCTACAAGTATCGCACCGAACCTGGTCCAGTCTTCACGCCCTTCGACGGCAATGCTGCCAAAACGTGCTCCACTTACCTCAAACGCTCCTGCGTCGCCAACTCTCAGACCCAAAGCTCGTCCAAGTGGAACTACAGCCCGGCTGACATTATTGTGCTTAAGAAACTATCCACGTATTCTTCGTCCCTGATCAATCCTGCGGCTGCCAACACTGTGCCCGGCACTACCGCCAGGAATGCCGGAGTTGGCAAAGTTAACTGAGCTACCGCATATAGGAAACTGGGTGGTTATTTATTATGTAACTGCACGACGTATTCTTCGCATTAGTTCAAATTATTTTTTTTCAATAGCTTCTGCACTTCAAAATATATAGTGTTCACTTTACATCTTCCTAGTCTAATAATCATACTTTGGCTACTGCACGATACGACGGATGAACGCGATAATGAGCCATTGTATATATTTCATGAGAGCTATGAAATCAAACCCGATTATCGTCGGACCTTTGCGATCAATGACGTAGCTAAAATCGACGGGAGCGACACCAACGTTCAATGAACGAACTACTTGGTACGAGTCTCCTTATCTGTTGTGGCAATGTCCAGCGATGAGTTTCTCCTTACTTCCGTCACTCCTTAACTTCCCTTTTACCGACCAAACTCGCTCCTAGCTTTACGCGAGGGACGAGTTCAATCGCAGCGACTTAATTATTAGGTCGTCGCTACACTTTTTCTTCAGCTATAATTAGAATCGACAAGGATACCAAAATGTATGTATACACTGTACACGGTATACGGCACGTGGAAACGCGATGGAAGAAAATTGATTTTTATTAATAGTCCTGACGACATAAGCCGCTTTGGTATTGCTTGCCTTTTTTTCTTTTTATTCAGAGTTCTACAACCAATTTCATTACGTCAGACGAATTTAGATCGTTCGAACCGTATATTTATGTACGAGAAAAAGTTTTACACATATTCCTCTTAAACTGACTGATTCGTTACTCACATTACGCCTGCCTCTTACAGGTTGATCGATTTACGATTGGATATCATCATGAAATTTACCTGAAACACAAAAAAAGAGATTACAAGTTAGAGACTGCTTTAAAAAACATATACACGATACATTGTTAATAATATTTATTGCCGTGAAAAAACATATGGCGATTAAGAAAATAAATTAATAAAAAAAAAAAGATGCCACTCAGTCAAAATAGTCAAAAAAAAATTATTTTGAATCGTTACAAAATCAAACAAAAAACTTTTTTTCGTATCAAAAAAAGGGGAAAAAAGGCTGGGCGAAAGGATTACGTACCACGAAATTTAAGTGACGACACCCCAATTAATACAATGCCGGTAAATTAGCGTGAAGAATGCAAAGTGATTAAAAATTTGATAATGATTTAATGAAGGGAAGGGGGGTGTGACGTCAGACATTGGATAAACGTACGAACGTTAATTCCAAAATGCAAAGTGGTTGTCCCGGGAAATGTTGGCCTTTAACGAGAGCAGTGCGATAACACGTGTTATTCGATGAGGGTGGGTGAGGAGGGGGAGGCCACGGGGTACAGTGGCTTCGTAATTACGTGATGAGAATCGTACGATACAAATAGCGCCAAAAAACTCCCCGCGCCA